AAAAACAAATCAACCCAAAATTTCAAAAATAAATATAATAAAAGGAGTTAATTAAAAGTGAAAAAGGAAGGGGGCAGCTGACTGGCTCAGTCCAAAAGGCATGTGACTCTTGATCTTCGGGTCGTGAGTTCAAGCCCTGCATAGGAGGTAGAGATTACTTAAAAAAAAAAAAAAAGAAGAAACTTAACGGACATCTGGGTGAGTCAGCGGTTGAGCATCTGTCTTCAGCCCCAGGCGTGATCCTGGAGTCTTGGGGTTGAGTCCCACATTGGGCTCCCTGCAGGGAGCCTGCTTCTCCCTCTGCCTGTGTCTCTGCCTCTCTGTGTGTCTCTCATGAATAAAGTCTTTTAAAAAATTAAAATTTAAAAACTCAAAATTGTCAACCCATATATAGCACTCTATTCCTCATCCAGCTGTGCTGGAGCCCCACACCCACCCCTGGGTGTTTGGACCTGCAGAATCCAGTCCTCCCCCCTTACCCTCATGACCTCCAATGACACAGCCACACTTGCCTGTTGCTCCCAGGTCTTCAGTCCTTCGCCCCTCGCCCTGGACACACTGCCCTTCTCTACTTCCCCATAACCTTGGGCTGCTCTACCCTGGCCTCTACTCCACCCCATTATGAAAAGTATTCTCCACACTTCGCATGCTCCACAGGTAAGCTCCTCCACGCCCGCCAATACCTCCAGTGACTGCCTCCTACCCAACCCTCCTGAACTTCAGGTCTGCGCACACACATCTCCATCCCCTACCTCACACAGGTCACTCAGCTCAGCACGTCCCAAACTTGAACTCCCCACCTGAGCCACACTCAAATACCCCTTGGCTTTTCCATTAATGCACCCCCATCCATCCAATAACTCAAGTCTGAATCCGAGTCAACTCCCACCCACCCCACCCCCACAGCCAGCCCCCCAGTCCTGTGCTCCCGCCCTCAGGTCCACCTCCTGCTCCTTATCCCTGTCACCACCACGCAGCCCAGGTCCTCACCACGTCACTTTCAGACTAAACAGGTTCCAAAATGATTTCCCTATTGCAAATCTTTCTTTCTTCCTGAAGTAGAAGTATTTGACTATGTGTGGTAATCATAAAAATATTCCAATTTATAAATGTAGAAAGTGAAAATCATCCATAATCCACCTTCAGGAGAACCTCTGCTATTTCTGCTTTTGCCTACTTCCCCACCCCCAGCCCCAAAATCCTTTATACTTTTTCCAAAATGATCTTTCAAAACATCAGTGCAGAGCTAAAAAAACCCTTCACCAGACAACCTGAAGAACTGGCATTGTTTCTTGAGTAAGCTAGGAGGTGGGGGGAGCAATGCCCTAAAATGAGACAACACAAACAGAAGGTGTGAGACTAGACTAAATCCTGATTCAAACAAACCTAATGTAAAATCAAATTTGTTTAGACAACTGGAGAAACTGGATTATAGGCTGGATATTAGATGACGCTAAGGAACTCTCCTAAATTTGCTAGGCAGAATGACGGCTAGCGATTAAGGAAATACCCACAGTTTTTGGAGGTCACAATAAATGGGGAAGAAACAACACACCTGTGATTTGCTTTAATGTGCTTCAAATGACAAAAGGCCAGGTGAAGCAAATGTGGCCAAGTACTGACAACCGTCAGACCTAGGTGAGGAGCATTTGTGGGTTCACGTTAGTATTCCACATGCAACTTTGTGCATTTAAAAATGTATTCTGGGGACGCCTAGGTGGCTCGGTGGTTGAGCTTCTGCCTTTGGCTCAGGACATGACTCCAGGATCTGGGATCGAGTCTCATATCGGGCTCTCTGCAAGGAGCCTGCTTCTCCCTCTGCCTGTGCCTCTGCCTCTGTGTGTCTCTTATGAATAAATAAATAATTTAAAATAAAAAATAAAAATGTATTCCGAAAATCTTCAATCTCCAAAAACACATGGCGGTGAACCTTCCAAAGTCAAACTGCTTCATGGAACACAGGCAGACTGTGATGACCTGACTCCTCACACCCTCCAGCAACAGCTCCCAAGGCTCTCTCCAGGCCCATAGACCTGAGACTAACACAACTCTGCAGGCCCCCATGTGCTTTGACCTTGGCATGTGCTACCATCACCAGGAGAGGAACAGGTTCCTCTCCTAGATTCCCTTTCCATTTTCCCTCAAGGCACTGAGCATACTTCTGCAAATCTTCAGCCTAGTTATAATGCCTGCTTCTCTGCAGTCTCCTCAAACTCTACACCCCAACCCTAGGCTGAACCACTAACTCTTCCACTTGGACTACAACACTTACTCCTGAGGAATAGACTAATTTGCTCCCATCTAGACCACGAGCTCCCTGAAGGCACAGTCCTGGCCCCAAGTAGGCACGCCGTATGTGATTACGGACTAAAGCAAAGAGGCAGAGCAGCCAAGATATTTTTTCAAAGATGCAGCACATCTAGGAGGTTGAGGGCAAGGGGCAGGAAGACAATGCCACCGAGAATGGTATTACCATCAGACTACTAGCTAAGACCATACAGAAATAAAAATGAACCAAGAAGGCACTCCTGGTTTTTTTTTTTTTTTTTTTTTTGAGGAGTAAAGATTCATGTCAGAGAGAAGCCTCCCTCTCCCAGCATATTCCACATGGCTTTTCTCCTCAACCTCTGGATGACAGTGAGCTTCACTTAGCTGGGGTCTGCCTTTTGTGGAGGGAGTACATTCAGATCTGTGTCCACCACCAAGAAAGGCAAGTGGACAACGTTCAGCCACCATGAGAGGCCTGTGTCCTCTACGACTGCCTGCTGACTAGGCAGGTAACTTGTCTCACTGAAGGTAAATGAGCAGCAAAGCCATTTGGCCATAGGTGTTAAAAGCCACTCTCTCCAATCAATTTAACTGGTAATGAAGCAACATTCTTAACTCCACATGCTGACTCCTGTATCCATTCCATAACTGGTTCTTAATTTGGGGAGGAAAAAAGATGGGTGTCATATGTTGACTCCTCCTACCAAACACACACAACTTGACTATAGTAAGATTAATTTAGCAGAAACATATAGTCTGAAGAATGCGGATAAAGTATTTAGCATGTAGTAACTCCTTGCTTGATTAGGTGCTTTTGTGGTTGTGACTATAACCAGAGGTAAGAAAGTCAGGAGGATGCTGCAAGAGGACAGTGGGCCCTGTAGCATGATAGCAGGGTCAGTGAAGACCCGAGGGCTCTGTGAAGAATGGCTCCAATGTGGCAACAGGGACCATAAAGGGATTCTGGTGTCTAAGATGGAAAGCCACCTCTTGTGGAAGCTGCCACAGGACAGCAGACAGCAGCCACCAGAAGTGATGGGAAGCTTCAGGCTCATCAGCCTGCACCCAACCGGATGGAAGGAAGAACATGCAGCGGAAAAGTACACCTACAGAAACTGGGCTCTGAGGGCAGCCCCAGTGGCACAGCAGTTTAGTGCCGCCTGCAGCCTGGGGCGTGATCCTGGAGACCCTGGATCGAGTCCCATGTCAGGCTCTCTGCATGGAGCCTGCTTCTCCCTCTGTGTCTGCTTCTCCCTGTGTCTCTGCCTCTCATTCTCTCTCTGTGTCTCTATGAATAAATAAATAAAATCTTAAAAAAAAAAAAAAAGAAAGAAACTGAGCCCTGAGACTGAGAGAGGGGAGAAAGGAAAGTGATGTGGGTATTCAAAACAAGGAACAGACCAACCACAAAAATGCACTACTTAGAAACCAGAACTGTAATATGGACTCAGGGTTAGTACTTTAGCCAAAAACACAGAAAGCCAAAAGGCTAAATGTTAACATACGGAGACAGTGAGCACACAGGAGGGGCTGGTGATGGTACTCGTATGTACTTTTAAAACATTTCATAATAAAAACTCCTTGGGCAGGGATCCCTGGGTGACACAGCGGTTTAGCGCCTGCCTTCTCTCTCTCTCTCTCTCTCTCTCTCTTCTCTGTGACTATCATAAATAAATAATAAAAAAAAAAATTAAAAAAAAAAACTCCTTGGGCAGCCCAGGTGGCTCAGCGGTTTAGCACCACCCTCAGCCCAGGGCCTGATCCTGGAGTCCGGGGATCGAGTCCCACGTCAGGCTTCCTGCATGGGCCTGCTTCTCCCTCTGCCGTGTCTCTGCCTCTCTCTCTCTCTCTCTCATGAATAAATAAATAAAATCTTTAAAAAATAGTAACAATAATAAAAACTCCTAAAAGAGCAATTTTTCAAAGGTAAAGATAAGGAAATGGGAAATAACTCAAAAGTCTCTGTGCTGACTTCTATCAGTGACCCCACCCTAGCCCCACTCAAGGCTGGAACTAGACCCACACAAGCTGTGAGGCTGAAAGTAAGACCAGGTCACTTGGGTAAGCACAAGTCTGGATCCATTCAACACAGCTCTGCTGGTGGCCCCTTGGGGTCCATCAGGAGCCTTTTTACACAAAGCAGAGAGAGAACAGCTTTTGGTGTCAGTAGGTTCTAGAAAGAAGCCTGGAAAAACGTTCACATTTATGGCTTTGGGAATTCATTCTGGGCTCCAAAAAGATGCTCTATCAACAATGTTGTACTGGAAGGTGGAAAATGTATGGGGAGGAGTAGAGAGAGAATTCCCATGGGTGTCTACAAGGCAGTCAAGATTTTTAAGGAAAAAAAAAAAAAACCTGAATTTTTAGGTAAGAAGAGCCATCTCATCCCCAACCCACATCTAGGCTAAAACCACTGCCACTCTAACCTTCATGCCTCTAGGGCAGGTTGGGTCAAGGGTACGTCCCACAGCTGGAGCTCTGCAACTGTCACTAAGGCTACAATGCAATTCTCTGGAACAGTCACACAGGGGCCAGAGAAAAGGAGCTCCCAACAAAGAACAAGCTGGAAGTGAACCAATGGCACTAGCTTTCTGCTCAACACTGCAGGTCCATTCTGCTGGTCTCCTGCCACCCTGCACACCTGCAGCAAGCACGCTCACCCTCCAGACGACCCCCTGCCCCCAGGATCCCAGCCAGGCAGCCACCCCTCCAGCACTGCCCAGGGCCCATACCTCTGCCAGCTCCCGCTCACTGATACTTCCGGTGGCGCCCCCTTTCTTCCTCGTGCAGGGCTCTCCCATGACGACCCTGCCGTCCCCTTTGGCATAGCTGTGTACAGTGAGAACTCCCGACTGCCCTTGGGCTCGGCAGGACAGAGGCTCACTGGTTTCTGAATCGGAAGAAATAGAATCCCGAGAAGAACTGGAGCCCAGGCTAGAAGAGGATTTCTTTTTCGAACCTGAGAGGACAAGGCGTCCCCCTATAGAAGCAGGATTCACAGAAAGATCCAAGGCGGCTGCTTCTTGTTCCTCCTCTTCCTCTTCATCCTCCTCTTCAAGTTTGACATTTTTAAGCTCTTCAAATTTGACTTCAGAGGAGTCAGAATAATCTGAAACACACACACACACATTGGCCAGAGTCAACTTCCTCAAGCACATCTGAAGCAAGTGAAAAGCAAAGTGGCAAAGCAAGAGAACAAGAGTGGCAAGTGAGGTATGGCTTCCAATTCCAATCTTATCCCTTACAGGTGCCTGTGGGACCTGGGGCTGACCCCTTAGCAGCTCCAGGCCTCCACGCTCATCCCATGGACTGCAAGCAGCCTACCCCCTATCTCCAGGGTTCTGTGTCTGCGATGGAGCACAGCCTGGCACACAGCAGACTCTCAGTAAGTGGCCACCATCATCTCCCCAGAAGTGTCTTGCAGGAATGAAGGCCTGAATGAAGCTCAGCAGACCTGGTGACCCCTAGCTAGACAAGCTGCTAGACAGAGGCAGCCAGGCCCCCGCGCCCCAGTCAACAGGGCCATCCAGCTGTCTGTCAGCAGATGTACCATGGCACTCTCAGTACAGATCCTCCATGCCTCACCCAAGACTGCCACCAGCCCCTCCCTAACAGATCTACTCTCAACAACCCCCTGAGCTGCGTGGAGTCAGTAGAGGAGGAGGGGGGAACACCTGCCCCACCACACTTCTGGACCACACCACTTACTTCCTAAAATCCAAGTGGCCCCTCAAGCCCTCTAGTGAGCAAACTCTAAGATGGCAGCCAGTCCCCCAACCATCTCATTCCTGCTTCTCTAGCCTCATTTCCTGCTAGCACAGCTGTCTTCTCCCCTTCCCACCCCACTATGTTCAAATTACAGGCAACTACTACAAACTCCCCAAATAGCTCCTGTGACTTCACATCTCCATGCCATCACCCCTGTACTCCCCTCTGGGGGCCCAACCCTCTGCCTGCCTGGGAAATTCCGACCTCTCTTGTAAGAGTTGGTTCAGCATCATTCCACCAACCCTCAGTGTTGCCCTGACCCCTCCCCAGGTGGTGGAGGGGCACTTCCACCCAGCATGTCCCCCTCCGAAGGACTCCTCACACCCACTCTCACACTCCACTTACACTCTCTGCTCAGGCCCACCTCCCCCCTTTTTCCTACCCATGACCCTGAATACAGCACGGCATCTAATGTAGAACAGAATACAGTTAGGCATGTGGGGAAAATACTGTAACCAACTAACCTGGGAAGGGAAGATTGTCCTCAACTTGCCGCACAGAGCTATGGGTGGGCCTCACGGGAGCAAGGGCGGCCTGGCACTCCGTCATGTCGTACTGTCCAGTACTCAGCTCCTCCTTGGGGAAGAGCTCACTCTGACTCACCTCCTGTGGTATCTCAAGACACACTCGGTGCCGTTTTGTCCCTATACGGTGCTTGGCGAGACTGCGAGGAGAGCAGACGTTTTAAGGGCCCAGGAGTACATTTATGGACACACATGTTCACACACATCCACACACATAACCCAAAATGAACGAGTGGCCAGAGCCTGCCCAGGCTCCACACATCGGCCCCACCTCCTATTTGTGGGAGAGACAAGGGACTCCACCTTTCTGAGCCTGTCTCACCCAAAGGAAAATAGGAATTATCACCATCCACATCAAAAGATTTGATGTGAAGCTTAAAAGGTATGCAAGGTACCTGGCATACAGTAGGCACCCCATAAATACTCTCCTTTCTTCTCCACATGGCCCAGGATCAACTCACCAGGACAGATCCTCCAGCTCAGACACCAATGATGCTGGCCAACGTCAATCACACACCCCCCCCGCCTCTGTGAGTTTCATTCCCACCCTCCATTCTCTTTTCTAAAGAACATCTCATATGATGGGGCGCCTGGCTGGCTCATTTAGTAGAGCATGTGACCCCTGATCTCAAGGTCGTGAGTTTCAGCCCCATGTTGGGCATGAAGCCCACTTACAATAAAAAATAAATAAAAAATGTCTTATGTGGCAATGAGAAAATGACTTCTCTGGCTGAGGGAGCCATGCTCTCTCGTGTGTGTGATCTTCGTTCCAGATATGGATGTGGTCATTCCTGGGCGACAGCCACAAGGAAGAGCCTGAATGCCCTTACTCTGGGCATTCCAGAGCCTTTACTTAGAAGAAAGTTCCCTCAGTTGTGGCTAGAACCCCTCACTTTGAAAGAGCCCCTTGACAGGTTATGGAAGCTGCCCAGACCCCCCAACACACACAGCTGGGCCCAGAGGGCCACTGCATTACCTTCTCTTGAAGTCACCCTCCTCTCCATCCTCAAGCCCTTCCATGTCATCCTCCTCTGGACACTCCTCGTTTCTGGATCTCGGGGCCAGTTCACTCTCCTTAAGAAACTCGGCTGCTTCTGGTGTGGGCAGGGTATGGTCAATAACTGTGCTGTCCTTCCCAGCTTTCCAAAGTTTGTACCTTTCTGGCTGGAACTTCCTCACAAACACGTCCATGGAGATCTTCACCATGTCCTTCCTACAGGAGCACTGTCCCAGGGAACCAAAAAAACTCCAGTCAGCCCTCATTAGTAGCTTCCACGCAACCCCCGTATCTCCTCTCCTCCCTCCAAGTGAAAAAGACACAAGACAGTTTAAAGCCAAACTGCTTGCGTTGATAGGCTGAGGGCATACTGTCATTGCAGAGCCTTCAGGCATTGAAGGAAGCAGGGAAAAGAGCAGGGAGGAATGTGTGGTGCTGGGGTGCACCCACCCAGGCACTAACTAGGCTGCACAGAGAATGATGCAATGAGGGCGTGCCTGTGTTGCTCAGTGTGTTAACCATCTGCCTTCGGCTCAGGTCATGATGCCAGGGTCCCGGGGTGAAGCCCCACCAGGCTCCCTGCTCAGTGGGGAGTCTGCTTCTCGCGCTGCCCCTCCCCCACTGCTCGTGCTCAAACTCTCTCCCCCCAAAAATAAATAAAATCTTAAAAAAAAAGGAAAGAAATGCTGCAATGAAGTTCTGCACTCAGAACCAGGATGGTCAATGCCCAACCTTCCCTCTGAGATCTAGCCAAGCCAGGACCACAGGAGCAAATGTCAATGTCCAGCCTTGCCTTGTTTCCCTAATCCTAAGAATTTCTCAAGAGAAATCCCAGAGTGGCCAAAGCAAGAAATATCAATGTGTGTGGTTTTCAAGCTCAAAGGACTTAAGCATGAAATCTTACTTTATGCACCCCAAACTTTTCACAATTCGGTATGAACACACTATGCTGGCCCATTTGCACATCCCTGCCACCCCGTTTCCGAATTCAAAGAATGTTCTAATCGCCAGCCAGTGTATCTAGCAAGAATTTGGTCAGCAGACATTTTTAGTCATGGCGTTATCCAAAGAAACCAAACGGACTTACCAGCACGGCTTGTTTGCCATACTCAATCCACCGCCGGGTAGCAAAATTGGTAGACTCCGCACAGTTGAAACCATGGTTAAAACCGGCATGGTAACCGTAAGGGAAAGTGATCATGAATTCTCCAGCTTCTTGAGTTACCTGAACGAGAGCAGACTTGACGCAGCTGCGGCAGATGGCTCAAGTCTACAGAACTGGGCCTCTGAGCTCCAAGTCTGCCATAGCTTAGCTAGGAGAAGTCCTAAAACTAATGGGGGCCTTTATAAAATGCCCAGCCCTGTCACATCAGAACCCCTCACTGTAAATGACCATTCAGGGATCCCTGGGTGACGCAGCGGTTTGGCGCCTGCCTTTGGCCCGGGGCGCGATCCTGGAGACCCGGGATCGAGTCCCACATCGGGCTCCCGGTGCTTGGAGCCTGCTTCTCCCTCTGCCTGTGTCTCTGCCTCTCTCTCTCTCTCTCTCTCTCTCTCTCTCTCTCTCTCTCTGTGACTATCATAAATAAATAAATTAAAAAAAAAAAAAGTAAATGACCATTCATCCAAATCAACACTGCCCAAGGGGATGTGACTCTGCTCTGGCACCCGGAAGCTACAGTAGGCTCCACCTTTAATATCCTCAGATCAATGTACTGCCATACAGGTTAGCCTTGGCCCATCCCTGGAACAGACCGATGAACGAGATTAAAGGTCCTTGTGACAAAGACCCAAAAGTGTGGCTTCCTTGTAAGCCGAAGGGCTTCTGCATGTGAAATCATCTCACCTTGTCAAAGGGAATTCCGTATTTCTTCAGCATCAAAGGGGAAATCAAGGTCATCTTGTGGCGGAGAAAAGCCTCGCAGCTTTGAGCACTTCCAGGGAAAAAACCTGTTTCATTGAACATGGGCACAAGTTAATGCACTGTTCCACACTAGCTCTGCAACCCTGGACTTGCTGCATGCTCATGCATCATCTGGATGATAAGGAGGATAAACCACCACAGACCCTTCTAGCTTCAGGCCAATCCTAAGATTCTATAATGAGCCTCTGGGCTCTCTCCCATGTAAGCTGTTATGTGAGTAAACAAATTGGGAAAGTGACATCACCCGAGCTGCCCTGTCCTTATAAAAAGCTTTGAAACTATTTAGGACCTTCCTCCATTAAACCTGTAAACCTCACTCTTTTGTTGGTAACACCTCTACAGCACAGATTACCCAAGCTCTCCTGAAATGGGCTCTCTAGAGGTACAAATCTATTAAAGTCCACTTAAAAAACAGAAGCACAAAAATTCCATTTTCACATTTGGATTTCTAGCAGAAGAACCAGACCCAATATGCCTGGTATACTATCTGTGGTCAAATAAACTCATACCTGATGGGCAGCCCAGGTGGCTCAGTGGTTTAGCGCCGCCTTCAGCCCAGGGCATGATCCTGGAGACCCGGGACTGAGTCCCACATCAGGCTCTCTGCATGGAGCCTGCTTCTCCCTCTGCCTGTGTCTCTGCCTTCCTCTCTCTCTCTCTCTCTCTCTCTCTCTTTGTGCCTCTCATGAATAAATAAATAAAATCTTAAAAAAAAAAAAAAAGAATAAACTCATACCTGATAAAACTGAGGCAAAGACTAAGCATTACTTAGTCCAAAAAAAAAAAAAAAAAAAGAATTACTTTGTCCCTTCCCAGGACAAACAGAGAAAGCTTCCAACTTTAACTGCTCCACTGGGGTGACCAATCTGGCCATTAGCTCATCCCCTACACAGAGGCCTGAGAAAGGACACCTAAGAGTCTGACCATAGGGAATGGACATTTCAGACCAATTAGCACAGCTCACAGAAAATCTGACCCAGTACAGGAAGAAGAAATAGTACCTTTGGCAAGGCGCTCCAACCGCTTTCCATGCTCAGGGGGAACAGAGTACCTGCAATCATAAAAGCATTGGATGCTGAGCAGGGGACACTACAGGAGCCAAGGGGCTCATTCCCATTCTCTAAACAGCTCAAAATACCAGATTTTTCATCTGCCCAACCACAAAAACTGGAAAGAAGTCTGGAGAAATGTGTTACACTATCTGGAGAGGGGAGGGAGGAACCCACGAAAAAGTATGAGTAAATTTACTTCTCTTTATGTTCATTCATTTACCAAGACATTTGCTGAATACTCACCACGAGCCACAATTTATGGTATGTATTCAGCATGTCTCTCCTTAATAATGTTCCAGCAATAAAATCTTTTTAAAAGGATAGGATTAGGGGACGTCTGGGAGGCTCGGTGGTTGAGCACCTGCCTTTGGTTCAGGGCGTGGTCCCGGAGTCCCAGGATAGAGTCCCACATCAGGCTCCTTACAGGGAGCCTGCTTCTCCCTCTGCCTGTGTCTCTGCTCTTCCCCCCAGTCTCTCACGAATACATAAAATCTTTTTTTAAAATAATAAATAAATAAAAGGATAGCATTAAAGTGCTCCTGAGAGCCTGAAAGGCCTAACTAGGATAGGATAGAGGAGGAATAGAAAACAAGGTGAAAATGGGATTTGATACTAGAAACCAGGCCCTATATATGCTGTTGACCCCATTTTTCTCTTCATCTCCATTAACAACTACAGTGATTATCCATTAATTAATTACTCCACCCCACAGAGTAGTCAGAGAAACTGCTCTTCATCAAAAAAAGAAGCCATGTAACTACTTAAAATTTTTGCAAAACTGTTAAAACTCAATATTCTGAAGCTCCCAGTAAGTCGATTTTAACCTTTATAATTGATTCTAAAAACTATTCCACAACAACAGAAATCTCTCATTCCAAATAATTTCATTATGAAACAAAACACATGGGGAATAAAGGAAGATGTTGGTCACCCAAAGGACCTTGGTATCCATCAGGCAACCTTGCCCAGAAGTCTCTGGAGATCCCACTTCCACTTCCAAAGACCTAACGAGCATGTGTAATAACCAGAAAATCTTCTCTCTCTACAGAAAAATTAAAATCCAATCTCAAGGAACTTAGGAGTAAACGGGAGGAAGGCACAAAAGCTACATTTATAGATTCTAGAAGTCTATCCATCTAAAAAAGGAAATGCGGGACGCCTGGGTGGCTCAGGGGCTGAACATCTGCCTTTAGCTGGGGTTGTGATCCCAAGGTCCCGGGATTGAGTCCCATATCCGGCTCCCCACAGGGAGCCTGCTTTCTCCTTCTGCCTGTGTCTCTGCCTCTCTCTCTGTTGTCTCTCACGAATAAATATATAATCTTAAAGAAAAAAAAAAAAAAGACTAGAAACTGGAAAGCATCTGAAAAAAGAAAGGAACACCTCTGGGAAAGGAGGTGGCTGAAGACCCTGGCAAAGGAAATGAAGATGCTTGGTTCCACGACTCCTGGACCTGGCCCAAGGTGTCCCCACCAGCCTCTTCCTCACTCCTCCGTCCTTCTAAGAGGCACCCAAACCACAGGGGACTTCCTCTAGTTCCCGGAGATCTCGTGCTCTCTCTCAACCGAGGCTCTCTGCACATGCTGTTCCAATCACCTGGGCACTTTCCTCAGTCTTCTCTGCCCAAAACCGGCCACCTGCCCAGCAGCTAGGCCTCACGTTAGGTCTCAGCTTCATTGTCACCTCTTCCAGGGAAGCCTTCTCCAATCCTCACACCACCTTCACATGCCTTTCCTATGCGGCCCTAGGGCACCCATCAGAACTTCTCTCACTATGGATTATTATTTCCTCACACATTCTATCTCCTGACCGGTCTCCTGTGAGGAAACCTCATTTGTCTTAGTCACAGTCGTCCAACACAGTACCTTCACTAAAATGTGGAGACTGAGATGGATCAGCCCAGGGAGAGAGAATAGATCTTTGTCTCCCCAACTAGAAGGAGAACATCCTGGAGAGCAGGAAGCAGATGCTGAATAGCCTCCATCCTCTCTTGGGTCAAGTACACGCTGCTGCTCACCAAATATTTTTTCCATGAGGAAAAGATAGCTTTCTATCACCTGAAAGAGTGACTCCAGTCTTGGAAGTCTGCCTCTAAGAAATGCCTCAGGCCTGTTCAGAAGAAGAAATCAAAAAGCAGTAGGAGAGCCCGGAACAGCCTTGGTGGCTCTCAGTAACTTAGCCAACTTAGCTTTTCATACAATAGTGCTAAATGCCCTGCCCTCTAAAGCCTTGCTATTCAAAGAGGAGTTTGAGCACCAGAGCTCCAACAGCATCTTCCTGCTTAAACACCTGGTGAAAATGTCAAATGCCAGCTTTGGCCCAGGCCTACCAAAGCAGAATCTGCATTTTAACCAGATCCCAAGGTGCCGTGTAGGCACCTGAGAGCTAAGAGGCCTGCAGTGGCCCAAGAAGCCCAAGGGCCAAGGGCAGCCCGGCTTTACCAAGACTTTGGCTCTCCAAAGTGCAGGTAGTTAATGCTGTACAGGTCCATGTCTTCGGTGTGCCAGGCAAAGGAGGTCTTCCACATGCCAAAGTACAGGTACGGGGTGTTCACACCCTCAATGGTGATCCCACTCTCCTTTTCCACCAAGTCCAGGATTGTTTTCAGCCGGCCAATATTCCACTCATCAACATGCTGCAAAGGAAATCAGAGTTGAGAGCAATTACAGTAAATATCAACTAAGGCTCTGCACCTACAAATCAGAAGAGGTCACAGGTGACTTGTCACCTCTAACAAAGATGTGGAATAATGTCAAAACAGCTTGGACCTGAAGACTGCAGCCCGCCTCACTCACTCTTCACATGGCCACCACTGGAATGGGCGCCATTAGACCTCTGAAGGGCAAATACCACTTGGTAAAGAAAACCAATATATGACAGGTGAATGAGGAGGAACAGCCAGCCTCCTGTTCTCAACCCCTGGAGGCAGAGCTTGATCTAAAGCTAAAGAAACTTAGGTCAAAATAGGAAAGGACTCCTAAACTACTGAATATATAACATGGGAGTTAACTATCCCAATTTGTGACTATTTGATCTCAATTTCTACTGGGCAGTGTCTTCAGTAAAAAGCCTACCATGTCACCCAACTCCTTTTCCTGAATTGTAACAGTCAGCTGCTTTTGTGCCTCCCCAGTCCAGATCCTTACAGTATCTCCCTGCCATTTACATCTCTTAAGTTTCACTTTCTGTCTTACTCTAAGTCTCACTTTCTGTTCTTTTCTGACTTAAAGAACTTGTCATCAACAAACTTGGAATCTATTTAAATCAATTCCTTCCTCCCAATAATTTATAAAAACATTAAATCAATCAGAGTGATAAGACCTGAAATACTCTACAGGGTTTTTAATCATCCAAAAACCATCCCAAATATTCCTTCCTTAGACCGTATCTAAGGCTGTTCTTTATGCTGAAAACGCTACACCCCAATCCAATGCAAATTGTGATAATAGCTTCTGCTAAAGAATCTTTTTAAAGGTGCTGAAAATCTAAATATGTTTCTCTTCTTAAATGTATATACCCCTTTCAGTAGATTAGTCAGTGATCTTTTTTCTGCAGGAACCACATTGCCTCTCCCCCAACATTTCATTAATGGTGATCCCACCCTTTCAAGAACTCATCACTACCACCCACAGACTATTCTAACAGCCCTTGCAAAGAAGGCCACATCCCCCAATTCACATGTAGAGTGGGAGAAATAAAATTCAGTCACATGCAAAAATCCCTACAATTAAGTGAGCACAAGGTCATCAGCTGGTGGTGGATCATTCCTTTGTTCAACCACTCATTCAGCAAGCAGCTTTTAGATGCCTACTATGTGCTGGGCAGATAAAAAACGGTATTAAATTACAAAACTCGGGATCCCTGGGTGGCTCAGCGGTTTAGCGCCTGCCTTTGGCCCAGGGCGTGATCCTGGAGACCCGGGATCGAATCCCACGTCGGGCTCCCGGTGCATGGAGCCTGCTTCTCCCTTTGCCTGTGTCTCTGCCTCTCTCTCTCTCTGTGTGACTATCATTAAATAAATAAATAAATAAATAAATAAATAAATAAATAAATAAATAAATAACAAAACTCGGTGATGTTTCCAGCAAGTCTCACCTTTTCATAGAGAGTGCCATTCACATCTGCACCATAGATTGGGGGATTAAACGTAAGATTTTTCCAGTATTTCCGTTCAAGCTCTTCAAACTCACTGTACCGTGGGGTACAGTACCTTTCAAAAGTAAACAAAGTGTTAACCCACTTACCAGGACTAAATTCATTAGGCATTATCAACAGCACAAGACACAATCCCTTGTTCTAGGGAAACCAAGCTATTTCAAGGCCTTCAAAGCTCCAATCCAGAGTAACTTTCTCAACATCCCTTCCATGAGCTCTGGGCCTGAGGAAGGTCATGTACATGAAGATGTGAAGCCCATCTTCTGTATGAGGCATAATACCCTCAACGCTTTCAAGAGCCCACTAAAATTTCATCTTGCCGGGATCAGGGGATCAGGGGATCAGGAGTGGCCTGGCCACCCAGAGCGAAAATAGGCTTACAAACTAGTGAGAACCAAGAATACAAATCCCTATATATCCACAGACAACCAAACCCCGCCAGCATGTGAAGAGCTGGGACCCTAAAACAGCATTTACTTCCCCGCATTCTGTATCGGAAATGGCTCCAAGAGGGCTCACCTGTATAGTCATTGCTACATTCGCAGCACCCTATGTAAATGGATAACTCAATAAATAATCACATCTAAAAACTAAGTATTTTAATAAAAATATAAAATATTCTCAGGCGCCTGGGTGGCTCAGCCAGTTAAGCATCTTGCCTTTAGCTCAGGTCATCATCTCAGGGTCCTGGGACTGAACCTGTATCAGACTCCCTGCTCTGCCGGGATTCTGCTACTCCCTCTGCCCCTCCCCCTGCTTGTGCTCATATGGACACTCTAATAAATCATATGTAAAATATATTCCTAAAAATATTAGATTTTTACATATCAAATGTTTTAGTTAGGAAAAAATCTAATTTTATATATGCATTCATACACATATAGCTGTCTGTATGTCTCTATATAAAAACATTAAAAATGGGGCACCTGGGTGGCTCAGTTGGTTAAGCATCTGCCTTCGACTCAGGTTATGATTTCAGGGTGTTAGAATCGAGCTCTCTGCCAGGCTCCCTACTAGGCAGGGAGTCTGCTTCTCCCTCTCCCCCTACTAGTGCTCTTTCCCTCTTTCACAAATAAATAAAATCTTTAAAAAATATATTAAAGGGCAGCCCGGGTGGCTCAGCAGTCTAACGCCGCCTTCAGCCCAGGGTGTGATCCTGGAGACCCAGGATCAAGTCCCATGTCGGGCTCCCTGCTTGGAGGCTGCTTCTCCCCCTACCTCTCTCTCTGTCTCTCTGTCTCTGTCTCTGTCTCTCTCTCTCTCTCTCTCTCTGTCTCTCATGAATAAATAAATAAAATCTTTTAAAAATAAATAAATAAAAATTAAAAATCTATAAAAATACCTATACTCTTTAGCTTAATTATCACAAACTAAGAATTTACTACAAAAAAATCTTTTAAAAAATTCAACCACTCAAAAAAAAAAAAAAAAAGTCAACCACTCAAAAAGTATTAACACAGCAATTTAAAAGTTATGTGTAGGGCAGCACTGGTGGCTCCGCCTTCAGCCCAGGGTGTGATCCTGGAGACCCGGGATGGAGTCCCACGTCCTGTTCCCAGCATGGAGCCTGCTTCTCCCTCTGCCTGTGTCTCTGCCTCTCCCTCTCTGTCTAATAAATAAATAAAATCTTTTAAAAAAAAGTGATATGTAAATTGAATAAATATTTGAAAATGCACATTATAATTCAAAAGGTAAAAAAAACATTATGAATGGATAGAAAAGAAGCGAAGACCCAAAACAAACTGTGTGGAGACAATGGGCTGAAGGGGGAAAAAAAAATCTTACTTTAAATACGGCCATACAAAAAAAAGGGAGGGGGGTAAATAAATAAATAAATAAATAGGGCCATACATTTTAATGTCAACCTATTGAATAATAAAGTCTAGGACTCTTAAGTTCCCTTTGAAATATAAGTACCTCTTCCACCTCCAACTGCTCTGCTTCATAAATTGCGATTTTTACCTGCTGGGTTTTCTTAAAGCTGGCTGACAATGCACATAGAAATTAAGGGGAAGAATTTATTGAATTTCAGACAAAGGGGAAAGACACAGGACTGCCTAATTGAAAAGAAGAGGTATCTTTAAAGAAAAGGCCTACCATATGTTGAGAAGAGAAACCAGACACAGGAGAGCGAGGCCTCTGGCTGAGCCCCATGTGAGCTCGAAGGCAGGCAAGCCTCCCACCGCATAGCTAGAAACCAGACATAAAGGATGGCACAGCCTTTCATCTGCAGAGCATGTCACACTTCTTGGACACGCTCTTACATAAATTTGCTCTTTAGACAGCAGGTTGGTCAGCAATGCAGATATTTTAAGAGTTAAGCTATCAATAAAACTGGAAAACAACATTCTGAACTGTGATAAGTCAAAGGAGAAGATGGCAAAACACAGAAATAGAACAAGATCTGATGTGAGAGAGCAATGATAAAGCACATGAAGTGGTGGTGCTCCCAGAAGCGTGAAAACTGGTGAGCTAAACATCCAGCTCTGGGATCATTCACAGCAAACACACAATCTAACACATCTGACTGGCTGAAATCAAGACGTATGTAGATCAAAAGGGCGCAGGGAAAAAAGCAAGAGAAAATAAAGGAATCCCTCGTGGACATTAAAAAAATCAAGGAGTAACACGGGAAGGGAGAAAGTCCAAGAAAGGATTAAGTAGGAGCAGTCAGAGCTCAATGAAAGAAACCACAAAATCACACTCTGTAAATCTGAGGTCAAATGAAAGCTAAGTATGAAAAACAACAGACAAGAAACCATGGAAAACAGCAGACCTATAGACCTACACAAAGACGTGTCTAACAGAGATAAGGATGTATGGATGAAGAGGAACGGAAGCAAAGGAAACAGCAACCAGGGGATCCCTGGATCCTGGTGGCTCAGCAGTTTAGTGCCTGCCTTTGGCCCAGGTGGTGATCCTGGGTTCCCGGGATCGAGTCCCACATCAGGTTCCCTGCATGGAGCCTGCTTCTCCCCTCTGCCTGTGTCTCTGCCTCTCCCTCTGTGTGTCTCTCAGGAATAAATAAAACCTTAAAAAAAAAAAGAAAGAAAAAGAAAGAAAAAGAAAACAGCAACCAGCTTGGCAGTTTGATCACACTTTTTTTTTTTCTTTTTTAAGATTTTATTTATTTATTTGAGAGACAGAGCAGTGAGAGAGAGAGAGTACATGAGTGTGGTGAGGGGCAGAGGGAGAAGCAAACTCACCACTGAGCAAGGAGCCCAATGTGGGGCTTGATCCCAGGACTCTGGGATCATGATCCAAGTCTAAGGCAGACGCTTCACTGACTAAGCCACCCAGGTGCCCAGTCATATTTTAAGTCAAAATAGAAGGGGACAGTGGCTAGTAGTGAGTAGTTTGAGCATGAAAAGACAGGAGGACCCAGAAGGAAGAGAAAAACCACTAAGGCAACCTTTCGATAAGCTGGTGTTATCAACACAGCTGGCCAAAACTCTTTTTGAACCAACTCCTAACTTTCTCCTTTACAACCCTACAATTTACCGGGGTCAGAGAATGATTCTGCCTCTGATGGAAGAACAATGGGATTACTTTAGGGAAGACTTATGGATGCGTTTAGACTGTGACACAGTACTGGGAGTAGTAAGGATGCTTCCATAAAAAGAGCAGAAAGGGAGACAGAGCTAGGGCTGAGGAAAGCATCCTTCAGCGGCTCGGCAGCGACCTTAGGAGACAACTATAAAGATCAGACGTTAGCTCCTAGGTGCTACTGCAGGCGGGAAGGGACGGGTTTTCACTCACTTATCACTATTGGCTATCTTGCGGAACTCTCGAACAGTCATGGCTTTCTTCTGGATGTTGTACTGAGTGAAGAGGCCAGACTGCCCTGTCACTAGCTGCTGGATGGGGGCAGGAATGACCAGATCATCAATATCATCATAGGACGATCGAGGTTTCCACTCCTTTGGAGGAACGACCTGTAGGGAACACAAGAAACAAAGAGATCAGAAATCTAGCAGGCCAGGTCCCAGCCCAGGTTGGGGATAGGCCGCTATTCAACCGAAAGGTCAATTTTACTATAAAGTGACTCTGATTTAACCAAGTATACCCAAACATAGCAAGTCAGGCTGTTGTGCTAACCCTGATCCAATTCAGTCACCAATTGGCTGCCTCATTGCAATGACCAAAATAAGTAATACTCATTCTAAGCTCAGTATCTTATCTGGACATCAAGACAAGAGCTGGGGGTTGATTCTCATAATCTAACAGAAAGTGCACATAAAGAACCAACTTGCTAACAGAGTGCTAGATGAGACTGAAATGGGAACAAGGTAGATGGTATAAGCCTCAGTGACAGGTACAAACACTAAAGCACACATCTCTGCCATGAGAATGGAAGCAGCACAGCAGCTGGCCCTGGGACACTGGCTCTTTACTTTGCTTAGGCTCTTTATTTCTCTTTAAAGACTCCAAGCAGCTCCCGCCCTCCCTAAAAGATGCTTGCTTCAGATGTTAACAAAAGGAATTAACTTACAAATAGGACAGTATACACTCAACACCCAGCCTGGCTTTTCGTGAAACTCAGTTCTTTCATCCACCTTTTAGGAAAAATTCCTGCTGCCCTAAGGAACAACCCCACCCACCCTCACCTTGGCCAGCCCAGCCCGATGAGCTCCTTGGGATTCAATGTAGGCCATGTATCGACTGAAGTTCCGGAACTCCTCCATGGTTGGGTAAAACGTCATTATCCGAGCACTGGGATTCAGAGTTTCAGATTCAGAAGCCATCTTCCTTCCTTTTTGAGGTCACTCTGGTCAGACAGGAATCTGAAGAAATACATGAAGAGCATAAACTGTAGGGACGCTGGGTGGCTCAGTGGTTGAGTGTCTGCTTTCAGCTCAGAGTGTGATCCTGGATTCCCAGGGCTGAGTCCTGTATTGGGCTCCTTGCATGGAGCCTGCTTCTCCCTCTGCCTCTCTTTCGGTGTCTCTCGTGAATAAATAAATAAATTCTTTTTTTTTTTTAAGAGCATAAACTGTAATTTGAATTAAATGTTGGGTATATCAGGGCAGATGGGTAATTGAGTGATGGATATTAAGGAGGCAGGGCACTTGTAATGAGCACGGGGTGTTATAAACAAGTGATGAAATCACTAAATTCACACCTGAAACTAATATTTCACTGTATATAAAATTAACTGAATGGAATTTTTAAAAACTTGATAAAAAAAAAAACGCTTGGAATGTCAATGCTGAAACAACAAAGGATGTAGAAATCCTGAAGTTTTAAGACCTCACACCTTGAATCTGCCTCTAGATAGGTTACTTAAGTAAACAAAAACAGAGTGAGAATCCAATGTATCAAAATTGTAAGTATTCAAATCTCATTTAAATGGAGACACTGTTTCAGCTAAAATCTGTTACTAGATTGTTGTACTTAACAATACTAAAGCTGCCCTGCCCTCTTTTATCTTTTCCAATTGCTCCCTTATCCACCTTTGATAACTGCTTCAGGATGTATTAAACAATGTATTAGATTAAAAAAAACAAACTATGGGCTCCCTTTCAGGGCACAACCTAAAACAAGATTCTAGATTCCTTTTTTTTTTTTAATTTTTTTTTTATTTATATATGATAGTCACACACAGAGAGAGAGAAAGGCAGAGACACAGGCAGAGGGAGAAGCAGGCTCCATGCACCGGGAGCCCGACGTGGGATTCGATCCCGGGTCTCCAGGATCGCGCCCTGGGCCAAAGGCAGGCGCCAAACTGCTGCGCCACCCAGGGATCCCAAGATTCTAGATTCCTAAGGCAAGTTACTTGGCCATAAGATTATAGAGTTTTAAGAGTTAAAAAAGCACTCTGATATTTGTATTTAAAACCCCTAAAATGAGGGATCCCTGGGTGGCGCAGCGGTTTGGCGCCTGCCTTTGGCCCAGAGCGCGATCCTGGAGACCCGGGATCGAATCCCACATCGGGCTCCCGGTGCATGGAGCCTGCTTCTCCCTCTGCCTGTGTCCCTGTGTCTCTGCCTCTCTTTCTCTCTCTCTCTGTGACTATCATAAATAAATTTTAAAAAATTAAAAAAATAAAAAATAAAACCCCTAAAATGAGATTGTTCTCTAAACCAAAACATCATTTCAGCAATACATAAGGTCAAGCTGGAGACTAGTTCAACTACACAGTACCCAGAATTCAAAGGACAAAATTTAAATGGGCGATAAAGGGGATCCCTGGGTGGCGTAGCGGTTTGGCGCCTGCCTTTGGCCCAGGGCGCGATCCTGGAGACCCGGGATCGAATCCCACGTCGGGCTCTGGGTGCATGGAGCCTGCTTCTCCCTCTGCCTGTGTCTCTGCCTCTCTCTCTCTCTCTCACTGTGTGCCTATCATAAATAAATAAATAAAAATTTAAAAAAAAAAATAAATAAATAAATGGGCGATAAACTGGCAATACAGGGCACACTTCAAACTGACCGGAAAAGGTGAAACACTATGCTCCTAGATGAGGCCTTCGACTAAGTGGGTGCATCCCCATTGCCTGATTAACACGACTGATGACTTCAAATGAGTAAGAACCAGGCACAAGATCTAAAAGAAGCCACTTTAGGAGCAAACATTTCCCTGACTCCTCCAGTCTGGGCCCCAAGGCCATGGCAGTTCAGCTCCCAGGGTTCCCTTGAGAGCTGGAGAGCTCAGAAGGAAACTACAGCACCTCCAACCTGCCAGCAACCTACTAACACACTGGGAAGCCAGGATGACACAAAACTGTCTAAGCCCCATTACCCACATCTCTCAAGCTTCCATTTCACCAAAAAATAGTGTTCTTGGCCAGGAGCTTTTCAGGCGCCTCCCCAAAACTTTACAGAACAGCTAGACTGTTAACCCCATTTTACATAGCAGGACTTTCCCCCCCCAGTCCTGCAACTCATCCGCACTGCTTCTTCCATTACTCTGTGCTGCCTACTGTATAATTTCCACCTAGAAGCAGCCCTTTGCAAGGGCAGATCCAAGTGTGGAGGAACCTCAAGTTCGATCAATTTTAAAGACTGTCTTTTTCAGAATTACAAAACCTTGCTTCAGCCTAATTTGATGAAAACATCCTAATCGTGTGAACACAGTGCTAGGCCTGGAACGGGGCTTCATCTGCCTCTGGACTTAGTCATCTTTGTACGCCTGGAACCTAGAACAATGCACGGCTCGGCGCAGACACTCCGTAACTGTTGAATAACTGATTCCCTCGCCCCCACTTCGCTCGCTCATTGCCTTTCTCCGACCCGAGGATTCCCTTCCCCCCACCTCTCCCCTGGGGGAAGCTCCGGTGCCCCGACTCTTTCATGTCCCCCATTCAGCAACAAAGCCTGGTGTGGTTCAAGAGTACCGGCTCCGGAACCCAAACAACTCTGGATTCAGATCCGGTCTCTGCCATTCGTTGGCTGTGTGACCTTGGCTGTGTGAGCTGCCCGAGTCTCAGTTTCCCCACCTGTAAAATGGGGATCCCGACCTCCTCGCCCAGCAGGGCTGCTCCGATGAACTCAGATGATGCAAGCGAAACGCTGAGCACTAGGCCCGGCACTTAAGAACTCAATAAAGGTCGCCGCTGCTAACACCCGCCTCTAACTGCCGCCCCGCCCCTCGAAGCTGCCCCCCACGGTACCCCCCCAGGGCAGCCCCCCGCTCCCGGGGCCCCCCCACCTCACCGCGTCCAGGGCCAGCCCCTCCCGGCCCCGCCGCCTGGGCGAGTGAGGCCCGGCCGCAGGAAGAAGAAAATAAGGCCCAGGACACCCGCCTCCCTTCCCGACGTGCATTGGCCACAGGAGATTAGAAAGGACCAATCTCGGGATGCATTTCGGGGCCGCGGTCCGCATTGGGCAAGGAGCACGCCTATCACTCGGCGCTGACGGCAAGCCCCCCGCCCCTCCCCCACCGGAGCTCACGGTCACAGGGACGGCTGCAACGCACCCAGAGCACTCGGAAGCCGTACGGTCCTTACCCGCCAGCCCTCCGCCCCTGCAGGGCCCGGGCCCGGCTCCCGCGGTCGCCGGCGGCCGCGCGCTCCACTCCTCCAGCCGGCGGAGGACGGAGCTCCGCCTCCCCCAGAAAGTCGGCCCCTGCGCAGCCGCGCGGCCCTGACCAATGGGAGCCCGCTGGCGCTCGGCAAGCAGCCAATGGGAGTGCGTCTATGATCTGCTCCGCCAATGAGCGCCGGGTCGGGCTGTTGCCAGGAGGAAAAGCCGCGCCGCCCGGCTCTGCGGCCACTGAGCATCTTGGCTGAGCCGCGGGGCGGGCCAATCACAGGCGGCCATCCCCCCCTCCCCACCCCCGCACCCCCCCGGTCCCCGGGGTGGAAAGAGGCGAGTGCCTGCAAGTGGGACGCTCGGCGAGGGTCGGGGCCGCGGGGTACTCGTGGGGTGCTCGCGGGATGCTCGTGGGATGTGACTAGCGAAGAGTCTAGGGGCCTCCCCAAGGTGGGGACTCCCCAGGTGGCAGAGCGCTGGGAGCCCTTGGGGGCCGCTTCCGAGATCTGATAGGGTGACCAGCTTGGCCCTTTTTGCCCGAGACTGCCTTGGCTTTTCTTTCTTTTTCTTTTTCTTCTTTCTTTCTTTTTTTTTTTAAGATTTCATTTATTTATTCATGAGAGACACAGAGAGAGAGGCAGAGGCACATGCAGAGGGAGAAGCAGGCTCCATGCAGGGAGCCCGACGTGGGACTCGATCCCGGGACCCCAGGATCACGCGCCCTGGGCCGGAGGCAGGTGCTCAACCGCTGAGCCACCCGGGGATCCCTGCCTTGGCTTTCAAAACTGGAAGGCCCGTGTCATGGGAAACCTCCCACTCGCCGGCAGAACCAGACATTTCCTGAAGGGGAGACAGCTCTGAAGGGGGAATGTCCTTAGGGTCATTAAGAGAAGAGTTGTTCAATGAGCGGGGATTTGGGGGTCATTAGGAGCAGCTCTTGGGGCGTGGGAGAAGGTCCTGGGAGTCATTACACATACTTCTGGAAAGTTGAGGGGGTGCCTAGAAGTCATTAGGAACTTCCTAAGGGGCACTGAGGCGCCCTAAGGAGCCCCCAGATTATCGCGGATGGTGGGCCAGGAAGCCTACTGAACGCTCTGATAGGCCCAATAGAAAAGTAGAATAATCACAACCAGAATTATAAAAAAGTGGCCACAATTACCCATAGGTGAGCTATGATGCAGTGCCCTGTAAAGAGCTATGGAGTCAGATCTGTGTTCAAAATCCACCCCTCCTCTGAGCTTGGGTTTTCCCATCAGTAAAATGGAAAAGATAATACCTGCCTTGCGGGATTGTTGCAAAAAGGAAGGGTAATAAATGTTGGCCAAAAGGATGGTATTACCTAGAGTGGCGGAGGTAGAACAATCATGAGGCTGGGCACATGCACCCAAAAAAACCCAAACCAAACCAAAAAAACAACAAAGCAGAGTTATATTGGGGGAAAATTTTTTAAAAAGGAATGATCATTGATAGTTGTGTGGGCAATCAATAGTCTTTCACAACAATTAAAGTTGTTCTCTCCAGACCTAGTAAGGTATTAGCTACTAGATTATACTGGGTAGCTCACAAAATTGTTAAGAGCTTGAAGAATCCAACCTGGAAGGTTCTTAATGAGGAAAAGAACCCCAAATCATGCCAAAGAATTCATCGGCGGGTCTCCTTGCTGCTGCCACGAAATAAGATGCTGCAGCGGGCCTTCCCAGCTCCCCTGACCTGGGCATGGATACAGTTGCTAGTCGGGCTGTCACTGCCAACTACTTTGTGAATGTGATCTTGCTACATTTCCCAATGTTGCCAAAGAGGAGTTTCCAAGAGTCACTGCTACTTTGTATCACCAGCTTCCAGTTGGTGTGTGCATATGGTAGTTGAAGCCTGGCTATCTGGAAGTCCTCCCATTTCCCTGACCAGTTTATCTCAGTCACCTTTTTAAGCTCATCTTTACTGTCCCACCTCTTAATGTTGATATTTACAGCAAAACTAATATGGTAAAAGAAGCCAAAAGTGGGGTTACCTTTGAGTGGGGGACAGGGAATGATGGGGGAGTAGCATAAAGAATGCTTCCAAAAGGAAAGAAAGTTTCTGGGGTGTTAAGGTGTTAGTAATGTCAGGGGAATTTTTTGGGTTTGGGGTGGGGGTTTTTAAATTTGGGGGGGGGAGGGGGCAGCCCAGGTGGCTCAGCTGTTTAGCGCCACCTTCAGCCCAGGGCCTGATCCGAGAGACTCAGGATGGAGTCCCATGTCAGGCTCCCTGCAGGGAGACTGCTTCTCCCTCTGCCTGTGTCTCTGCCTCTCTCTCTCTCTCTCTGTGTCTCTCATGAATAAATAAATAAAATATTTTTTAAGTAAAATAAAAATAAAAAATATTTTTTTTGTTTTGGTTTTGTTTGTTTTAGTAGTATTCTAACGTAGTTTCTTGATCTGGATGGTGGTTATTACACTGGTATGTTCATATTTTAAATTTTCTTTGAGCTGTACACTTATAAGTTGTCCATAACATTTAATGTACATGATACCTTAATTTTTTTTGATACCTTAATTTTTTAAAAGATTTATTTATTTCCATGAATGGGTGACAGGCACTGAGGGGGGCACTTGACAGGATGAACACTGGGTGTTATTCTGTATGTTGGCAAATTGAACACCAATAAAAAATAAATGTATTATTAAATAAATAAATAAATAAATAAATAAATAAATAAATATTTCCTTCCAAGAAGGAAAAAACATGTTTATTTATTTCCTGTAAGGGAGAGAGGTAGTGGGAGAGGGAGTGAGAGTCCCAAGCAAACTCCTCACTGAGAGCAGAGCCCCAACTCCAGCTTGATTCCACGACCCCAAGATCACGACCTGTGCTGAAACCAAGATTCAGACACATAACCAACTGAGCCACCCAGATGCCCCATGATACCTTAATTTTTTTTTTTTTTAATTCATGATAGACACAGAGAGAGAGAGAGGTAGAGAGACAGGCAGAGAGAGAAGCAGGCTCCATGCTGGGAGCCCGACGCGGGACTCAATCCCAGGACTCCAGGATCATGCCCTGGGCCAAAGGCAGGCGCTAAACCGCTGAGCCACCCAGGGATCCCCTACCTTAATGTTTTTAATTACAAAATTAATCTTTAATTAAAAAAAAAACTAAAGAACTGAAAATATGTTTCTGTGCTTGTGGCTCTCTGTCTCTTGCCCTCTTCTCTCATTCTACAAGCTCTCCTTAGATGTTTCTGATTTCACAAGTCACTAGCAGTATGACCTGGGGCCAGTTACTTAATTTCTCTAATCCTCAATTATAACTAAAATTGGAACAGTACTTCTCTTTCTTGGTTGTGAGAGCTGAACAAGATAATGCAGGTAAAGTACTTAGAAGTCAAACTGGCACATATTGAGTGCTCCGTAAATGTTAGCTGTGGAATGGATGGTGGTGGTGGTGGTAATAATACAAAGCACTTAACCTAAAGCCTGAAACAAGAGTTCAAAACACTTAAACTCTCAGGCTTCACTCACGTGCACACTGATGAAACCCATTCCGTACTCCAGCACGATCTTCTCCCCTGTGCTCTGATCCTACCTCTGTGCTCCCCTGTGCTCAGATCCTACCTCATCCTCCTACCTCTGGATCCCTTCTGCTGGATTCCTACAGGTACCTAAAACCCACATGCTCAATTAAGAATTAATGTATTTGCCCCACAAATGAGCTCCACCTCTTAGGTTTCCTATCTCAGTTAGTGGAGCAGTCATCCACCCAATCGCCTGAGCCAGGAACTGGTGTGTAAGCAGTGACTCCTTGATGCAGTCTATTGCCTCACCCTGCACAGAGTTCCACAAACAAGTGTTCTGCAAGTGCCTGGATTTGTTACGTGTCCATCTTCCTCCACTAGGCAAAATCTCTCAAGAGCATCACTTCAGTCTTATTGATATTATCATTTAGGAATGTGTTCCATCACCAAAAATAGAAAACCCTAGCAACAGTGGCTTAGATAAATACAGAGGGTTTTTTTCCCCCCTCACGTGTAATAAGAAGGCTGAAGGGAAGTTTGGTTTGGTTTTGTTTTGTTTGTAAATGAAGGGAGGTATCTATTGGCATTCGCTCAATGCTCAACAAAGTCACCAAAGAGTCAGGCTGCTTCCACCTTTCTCTATACTTCACAACCTGGCTTTGGCCCTCAGAGGTGTGCACCTCATGGTTGGAAGGCGACTGCTGAAGCTCCAGATATCCCATCTCCTTCATGGGGATAAGGAGGAAACAGTACCAGCAGCCGGGTGTCCGGAAGCACCTGACTCCTAATCGAGGGTCATGAGTTTGAGCCCCACGATGGGTGTAAATATTACTTTAAAAATTTTGGGGGGAGGGCAGATAGGGTGGCTCAGCAGTTTAGCACCTGCCTTCAGGCCCAGGGCGTGATCCTGGAGTCCCAGGATGGAGTCCCATGTCGGGCTCCCTGCATGGAGCCTGCTTCTCCCTCTGCCTGTGTGTCTGCTTGTCTGTCTCTCTCATGAATAAATAAAATCTTTAAAATATATATATATTTTAAAGATTTTTAAAAATTTATTTATTCATGAGAGACACAGGCAGAGGAAGAAGCAGGCTCCATGCAGGAAGCCT